TCAAGGTTTGGATCTGTTTTAGCTGGTGGAGGTTCTGTAGAGAGTGAGACATGGAAGGGACAGACAGACAAGACAGAGAGAGACAAGACAGACCAGAAGAAAAAAAAGTAGGACAAAGATATCACGTGACTTTTTGTTTTTGTTTTTAGTTTGCATGCAAGAAAGGAAATGAGAAAGGCAGGAGTAATGAGAGCAAATGGGGGGCAGGGGACGAGGAAGAAAAGCACCAGGGAGGGGAGACCTGTGTCTCTGATTCTTGGTTAAGGTCTAAATATGCAGGAAGTCAGCCATATGAAAACAACCACCAGGCTCTCAAAAAGCACATCTGGATTGCTTTGGAGAATGACAGCCCACCACGTGGCTTGGGGCTTTCTGAACCACATGGACATGGCTGAGCCATAGTCTCAGGGACTCTTCTTCACCACCACTGGGATTGTAGCTGAGGACTCGGTATTCCTAAATCCAGCTGCTGCCCTTCTCTCTCCTCTCCTCTCCTCCTCCCCCATACTCAGTCCCTTACCCCCACTTGTTTTCTTTCTGGGTTCTTTTCTTACCTCATTTACTTTTTATTTTTAAAAATAAAACAAGGAAAATAAATGTTCTGTTATTTAAGCATTTTTTGTATAGGGCATGTGCTGTTTAGAAGGTTGAAGTGATACATATCAAAATAATAAAGAACTCTCAGCTCTCTGGATAATCCTCTAACCTGCTTTGCAGGAAACTTCACTACCCTGCTAGTTCTCTGCAGTCCAGAAAGCTTGTTCCAGGATCCAAGAACTGCTAACCTGCCTCTGACCTGCTATATATGATTATATGCATCACTAAATTCACAGCTAACTGTGCTCTCTTTGTCCCAGTTCATACAGAGGCTGGGAACTGCTTAAAGGTGTTCACAAACTGACTCATACTCTGAAAATTATAGCTGTTCACAAAAGTTGGAGAAATCATAAATATCCAGTGAAAATGGAATTGGCTGGACCAATGCGCTAGTCCAGCCCTTACTATCTGTCTTACTATCTGTTGCAAATGGAACAGAATAACCAGCCAACAGATATTCTTCCTAATATGCCATATTCCATAAGGGATTTAGAGACTTCAATAAATGGAATTACGTCACAGATCTGCCCACTCTGCTACTTGTGCTTCCCAAGCAGTCATCTGCACTGACCCTGAAACAGATCATCAGCTCTCTGGGAGGAGGGAAATGATTTTGTTACATGAATGGGGTTTCATAGATGAGGATGGACAATCCTGTGGGTTATAATGATGACAAAAAAGGCCACCAGGTATCAGAGAAAAATCTCTCATACCCGCATGAGGAGAAGGATGGAAATGAAAGATTAGTGGAGGTATAGTTGTTTGGGAGTGAAGAAGCAAGAAAATGAAAGGTAGCAGGAGGGGAAAAAACAGTGAAAAGAAAAAACAAGCAGAGACAAACCGCTGAATTTCTCTTTTTCCAAAGGGGAGAATGACCACCTTGGAAAAAAGGCAGAGCAGCCAAACAGTTCTATGTGGCCACTGGCGGGTAGGGACTGGCAATTCTCCTTGCCCACTGCAAGCATCTCAGCCATGGAGAGGACAGAGGAGGGAGATCATGATGCAGCATATGGAAAAGTTTCAAGAGATGGGTAGGCACCAAATTTAGGAACCAATGGAAAGTCCCTGGCTCTCACCCTTCTTTGGTGTTGACATTGGACCAAAGCTTTCAACATAATCATTGTCATTATATGAAGTGGTCCTAGCTTCCCAGGGAATAAATAATATTAAAGACATGAACTACGAAAATGACTCAGTCTAACATGTGTGTACAAGCAGACTGAGGTGGAAGAATTTGGAAGTTATCTGCATGAGAGAGAGAGGGGCAGGAAACAATCTGGTGGAATGTTCTACAGGAAGCAGTGCTGAAAACACGGTGAGGAGAGGAGAAGGGAGGGGAGGAGCAGTGGAGAGGAGAGCAGGGTGCGCAAGGGCAGAGCCTAGGGATAGAGTCAGCTAGTAATATTTCAAGAACAAGTAAAACAAAAATCTCAGGAGCAGTCTAAAAGAGGATTGGCTACTAGGCCCCTCTCATACAAAGACCTGGGAAAGGAAGGGAAGGTCTGGCAAGGAGGCTGATGCTGAATGGAGGGTGCAGTAGAAAAGGAATCAGATCTGATGTGGGCACATCCCAAGACCAAGTGCAGACCTAGCGCAGCTCACAGTGACACGCACACCTGTCAGAAACAGCCATGTAATCCTACTCCAATCCAAGATCCCGGTGGACTTTCTCCTGGGTGGAATTCATAAATACTTGCCTTTCCAAGTAAAGGCCAGAAAGGCACAACCCATCTCACAACCTCAGAGCCCCACATATATCTGGTGAGCCCATCTCATGGTTTCCTCATTTCACCTGGACTTCATACTTTGTTAAAGTCAGAAGAACAGGCACTGAAGTCACTTTCTGTCCTTGAGCACCGACTGTATTTTCAAGCGTTCGCTGGAGGTCATCTCTACTGATTGTTCCTAAACTGAATACGCAACAAGCATGGAGACTATCAGGCCCCAAACTCTATTAGGACCAGATTTGCTGGCTACCTAGCACACAGATTTTGGCCACTAATCACTCTAGAGAGTTGGTCACCATAAACAATAGTATGGATGAAGAGCTTAAGGCTAAACAAGCATTTTCTTAGATTCCTTTAGGGCCAATCACACCAATTTTGTAATGTCTGTATCTGTATATTTGAAGTTTTTGCCTTCAAAGAAGGTACTACAGACAAAATTGTTGTGACTGAGGCGGCCCTGATACTCCTCCGCCTTGGTCCTCTAGGGGGAGCTGGACGATTTACAAAGTTGGTATTAGGCTTCGATGGAGCAAACGGTGTTTAGGGGCTTTGGGGCCTGCAGGCGTTTCTTCTCCAATTGGCTTTGTAATTGGTAGTGGAGAATAATGGCAACTGACTAAAAAAAAAAAAAATCAGTCTCAAAACAGCTTACCTGTTGGTCTGGGGCCTAAACAATCATGATCTGGCTCCACTTAATAATTTAAACAACTGATTTTAAAGTTGCTGGCAAATGGCTTATGGCTGGGAGAGCAAACACTCTCATGTAATATCTCTACAGAGGAAAGAAAAGAACTCATGACCTAGTTTAGGAAATCATGGCCTGATGGGATAAGGAGAGAGAGAAACATGTAAGCCTGTCTCAACCCATAGGATTGAGAGCAACCAGAACCGAGGGGCTTCTGTATTCACCAATTTAGAATTGGAATAGAAATAAGAAAGGACTTCAATTTCTCCGCTTTTGGCCACTTTCTGGGTCTTTGTGTGTGGGCCTGCATGGATATGACACAGCGTTCCATGACTGGTGGGTAATGGTTGGCTTTGGGGCTCCTGAGTACTTACTGGAAGGCACCAGCTTTGCTCTTATTTAGATTCTCCAGATCAGTATTTAGGCCATTTCTTAATGAGCATCACTGACAGCTGCCGAACAGCAGAGTATGGGGATGGTATAACTCAGGGGGTTCAAAAATGGAGGAGCCCCCATGTCCCCAGGAGCTGTGGGTATTCATGCATCAAGAACTGTTTAGCCCTGCTAACATACTGCTGAGTGCGAGAGGACAGTTCTGTGTGGTAAGTGAGGTGGGTTTGGAAAAAATAGAAGGTGGGGAAGTTTAATGGTGTTAGGTCATACTGTTCTCCCATCGCAGGAGAATCAATCATTTATTATTTCTACTTCTTGCTGCTCTGAATCAACTTGGAAGATTTAAAGTATTTGGGCAGGTATTCCTTGAAATTCTTTGTGAATGTTATCAGTTACAGCCTTGGGATGGTGAGTAGAGAATGCAGGGCAGGGCTTGGCATTTCTCCTTTATTCTGGAATTATAAAGAGTAACAGATTATGAATGCTGGATCTTGTGTAAAATACGACCTTGTCAGATCCAGAAAAGTTTTTTTCCAATAAATAACCAAACTTTTTAGGCCACTGGAACAATAAATGTCTTTCCCAAAGGGCTCTAATTGCCTATTAGAGATGCTTGCTTACAGAAGGAGACCTGGGGACCTGCCTAATACTGTCCCAGTGCTTCAGTTTCCCAGCTGCAGAAACCTATGTCTCACCAGATGAACACTTGGCATCTCAGAACCAGCAAAATAAGATCCCTGAAGAAATAAAAAAAGCTGAGCAAGTGCTAGGTGATAGTGGGCATATGGTATCATGCATTGCAGGGATCAGATGCTCTAAAATCATATCCAGGTGGCTACCCTGAGCAACTCTACATTCCCTGCAGCTCTATATCCCTCTTCCACAGCAGCAAATTGACTCCTTTGGTTAGATTACCAGTTCTTAGCATTCAAAATTGCCCAGGATGGCAGATGTGCATTAAAGTGGTGATGGAGGTGATGGTCACTGCAGGTCATGGTGAGGGGAGAAAGGAAAGCAGTGAGGCCTGAAGTGTATCTGGTGGCATGAGCTTATTTTTGTGAGAATGCCAAGCATTCCTGAATATTTCAGGGGAAATGGGCTGGGGCAGGAAATCAACATGTGAATAAATTTTTATTCTGCTGCAGAATGACTCAATCTGTGTTCCTTCCAGCAAGGGATGGGTTGGGGAGGAGCAACAGGGAGGAAAGCCTCTGGCCATGCTCAGGCTTCCCTAGGCACCTAATGGGAGGCTCTGCAGAGCTGGAAAACTCGTTCTAGCCTTTCCATCCAGCCTCTTGAGGGTGAAGCCATTGCTTGAAAAACTTTAAAAGTTCAACTCAGGTTTGTCTCTAGCCTACAGATTTTCCTTTAAACCAAAGGCAGCATTTGTTCCTAGAAGGCCTTTGAGGTGGCCACAGTGGATGCTGTATAAGCTGAAAGAGACAAAGAAATGGCTACAGAGAGGTGCTTACCTCCTCTTCAAACATCATCTCTTCTAGAGGGTGTTGACTTTGTAGTGAAATTTGGAAGGGGCAGGCCTATGCTCAAATATGCAGTCTTGACAGGCATACAAAGACAGAAAGAAAATCTCTTCATACCTTCATCTCTTCCTCCATTTCTGACATTTTCCGCTCCAAGGCTCGCCTCTCCTGTTTAGAAACAATGAGATGATTGAACATCTAATGGAACTAGAAGGGAGTCAAAATGCTGCTTCCCAGTTGCCACGTGATCAGCGGCCTCTTGGTCAAAGGGTTTGTCTAAAACAAGGGACTCAGGCAAACCTTACTTGGGTGATTTGAGCACTGTCTGATCCTGCCACATGTGGGATGGAGCTACTTTACTGATAAAAATCACATTATTTAAATTTCCTATCAGAAAATTAGAAGATATGTGTGGAAACAACTTGCTAATATGCAAACAGACTAGGGCACTCTGAGTTATTCTGTGGAAGTTGAAAATTTCATGGAATTTCAGATGACTGCAAGTGACCAGGATGCTTCCTCTCTATTTTTTTTTTCCCTCTTGCTGTCTATTAACAAAAAAGCATCATTACCTTCAGTAGTGCTCCCCCTAAATTCCTAGAGAACTGTTTCTCTCATGATGCAGAAGAGATGGTGAGCAGGTAAGTAGACATCGCTATCTATGAAGAAATAGCATCCTTCCCCTTAGTTTCTTTCTTCCTCTTAGTTTTTCCCTCCCCCTCCATTTCTTTCTCCCGGCAATTGACTCTTGATTTATCCTGAACCCAATGAGGAGTCCTTGATCAGATGAGATACCAGGGAAGTTTGGTTACAGGCCAAGGGAATAAACTTTAAGTAAGATATCTTCAGCTGTTTTCCAAATTAAGCAGACAACAACAGGAGACATGGAAACATATTATACCCCTAGGGTCAAATCAAAGCTAGGGTTCATCAATAAATCTAATGGAGTTTTCTCAATCCAAGAATGTCAAATCCGAGGAAAATATTCTGAGTGCAGTTGTGGGGAGGTCAGCAATTGAACCAGAAATCCTGCCCTCAGTCAGACAGTGAGCAAAGTCTCTGTTGGCTCATGTTTCAAGTCATAAGACCTATTAAATCGATGGCAGAGGGTCTTGCAGAAAGCTTCATTTCTGTTTAAGGTGATGGGAAGGGTAAGGAGACCTCGGACCTGGGGGTGTGTATGATGATTTAAGTAAACCAAAACATATTATGAGTATGCACGTGTGTGCAGTTCTGCCTAGAGGCAGAACAACATATGAGATGGCCTTCCAAGGGCACTTTCCACCCTAAGACTAGAAATATGTAGAAAGTACTGACTATCTGAAGAAGCCAAAATGACTAGCAATCAAATTACTGCCCAGAGTCAGACAAAAAGAATTTATCATCAAGTTAGGAATGGAATGTGGCAGAACTCCCGCCTTCTTTAGAAAATTTTTCCATTGGCATGAACAACAAAGTTAGAGAAAGTCAGAAAGAAGAGATGAAATGGGGGGAAAAGAGACATGAACATACCCGTTTCTCCATCTCCAGCATTGATGATCGGTCAGAGGTCTTCTCTTGTTTCTGCTGAAGGAAAACAGTTGTTACTTAAGTTGTCTGAGGGCTGGGTGAAAGCCCGGTTTAACTCGGCTTCACCAGTGGACATCCAGAAATAAACAGCAGGGCTTCTGGCTTTCACTATAGCAGGGGGCCCCAGCAAACAGATTCTGATAGATTTCTAAGCCTACTATTATTGCCTCTCTGAAGTTTGCAGAGTTCTCACTGGGGAAGGGAAGGCAGTAGTAATGTTTTCTAAAATTTAAAATATTCACAAGTACAAAGACATTACTGAAAGCATGCACGCACAGTCACGCATATGCACACACACACACACACACACACTATCTTTCTTTCTCTCTCTCTCTCTCTCTAGGTCTTCAATGCCAACTACGTTCTTACATCGCACCATCTCCCTCTTCTCCTTTTTTCTGAGTAATATCACAATGAAAAATGGCTTTTGTTCTTCCTGCTATGCTCTCCCAATCTTGAATAGAAATATCTATTCAAAGTCTTAACTCTCCAGAGAAAAGGACAGAAGATAGAAATCTAAAAAATTAAGGGCCAGCCCGTGGCTCACTCAGGAGAGTGTGGTGCTGATAACACCAAGGCCACGGGTTCGGATCCCTATATAGGGATGGCCGGTTAGCTCACTTGGGAGACCGTGGTGCTGACAACACCAAGTCAAGGGTTAGGATCCCCTTACCGGTCATCTTCTAAAAATAAATAAATAAATAAATAATAAATTAATAAATAAACCAAGGAAAGTTAGTTATTTGAGAAAATAATAAGCAAACCAAATAAATTACCGTAATAACTTCGTATAGCATACATTATACGAAGTTATACGATGTTATCAGCACCGCACTCTCCCGAGTGAGCCACGGGCCGGCCCTGGCTTTTGTTCTTTAAAAGGCAGGGGACAGGGCCGGCCTGTGGCTTACTTGGGAGAGTGTGGTGCTGATAACACCAAAGCCGTGGGTCTGGATCCCTATATGGGGATGGCCGGTTAGCTCACTTAAGGGTTAAAAACCCCTTACCGGTCATCTTTAAAATAAATAAGTAAATAAATAAAATAAAAGGCAGGGGATTCCTGAGCTTGAATGTCTAAGTCCCATAGCACGATTCTAAACCTATTCTTTCTGTTTTGGAAATTGAGGCAGTTTTCTTTTAGAGGAGTGGTTTTTTCACATGCAGGTGGGCTTCCAGGGGTTCTGAGGAGCCCATTCATGACATCCACCCAGGTCTGAACAAAGCATTCTACTGTTGTATGTACTGGGCTTCCAGATAAGGCAAGATTTTATTTGAATAGAAGATTTAGAATGTTTATTTTAGATCATATTTCACTTTCAATTTAAATTTTGCAGAGGTGCTAGAAGGTTTAGCCACCCATAGCTAAAAAGTAGAACAACCTCAGGTGATGACCCTACCTTAAATAGGGGAATGGAAATAAACTGTTAAGTCCCTTTTGGGCTTAGCATTACATTCAATAGACATTTAATAAATAGAGGTGATTATTTTTATTTTGCCTAGTGCCGTGCACAGACAGCATTTAATAAATACAGAAATTGTGCTGGTCTTCTTGCAGAGGTTTCCTTTTTTAAAAAATTAAGGAATAGCCAGAACTAACAGCAACACTCAGAATTCTGGCTCCTGTCCTGGGCTTTCACCTTCTGTTCTGAAGATCAAGACTGTCTGCCTTTACACTGAAGAAAATGAAAAAAATGCAGAAGTAGATTCTGTAGCTTGTTCATATCCTCATAAGTCTCTTTGCCATGCCTGAGAAGCTGCAGAAGCTGTGATGACTTGACTATTTGCAAGGTTCACATATATAAGGAACTAGTTTTTTGTTTGTTTTGTTTTAAATTCTAACCCCCTTAGAGTTCGGGCGGACCATTTATGTAAAAGTATTGTATGTGTCCGTTTGACAACTATCTCCATACACATGTGGAAGGCTGATAGGCCCTCCCTCCACTGTCCTGCCAAACAACTCCATTTTTGGTAAGTAGTAGAGACTTGGTTTGTAGCACTACCATTTCTTCTGAATAACTTGTATTTGGCAAAATTAAGTATATTCTGACACACCCAGCAAAGCAGTTGGCTAGACAGTAAATGCTTTTCCCAAGCAACTGGAAAGGCTGATTTTATTTTCAATGCCCTCTGTGCAAGTCAATGTCAGCTTGTTAGACTGCTCACTGCTATGAAGCATGGGCTGGTGGAAAAGCCAAGAACCCGTAAAGGTCAAGAAACATGCTGTCAGGAGCTTCTGCTGAGGACAGAGTGGGGAGCAGGTGAAACTGGGTTCTTCCTGTGGTTCCTCACATGACTGCTCCTTAATTTTCTGTAGAACAGCCCCAGCAGTAACTGATCAAAACCATCATATGATCTGTATTTATTAACCATTGCCAATACATGGCACTACTCAGAATGAAAATTAGCCCCAGATGTCCTTTGAGCGTCTACTGTAAGATATTTTGCCAGGCTCAATAATGCTGGGGTGAAAAGAGACCTTAAGGTTTATTTAGCCCATCCCCCTGCCAGGATGGAGATAGCTGTATCTATATTTTTTTCTTTTAGATTTAGAGACCGGGCTGGTCGGTTAGTTCAGTTGGTTAGAGTGTGGTGTTATAACACCAAGGTCAAGGGATTCCTGCACCAGCCAGCCACAAGATTTAGAGACCTATTTTCCTTGTTTCACAAAATCACTGTAAGCCCAGATGTTATTATCTATCTGTGTTCCAGTCGGTCTCAGAAATTCCCAGTAATAACCATGTTCAGCTACTATAACCAAGCAGAAGGGGGTGCCTCTTCCAAAATGAAAGGCAGCTCACAGGACAGGCCACTCATTTAATGCTCCGCCAAGCCAGCCCGTGGAAAGTGTGGGCATCCTGGCTGTCTTGCTGGGATCCCATATAATTCTGTAGCACTGTCTTCCAAGTGATGGCACCACCTTGCTCATCCTATTCCAGAGGGGTTGCAACAATATGTTTAGAGGGTACTCAATGACCCTGCCCATTAAAACCCCATGTGCTTGGCAGTATACAACCCTAGCATTTTACTCTTTGCTTTTGGATTATATCATATTGCCAGAATAAGTAGCTGACTCTGGTTATCATTTCATGCCCTCCTGGTAAACGGTCATTTCTACGTCAGTTCAGCTTTTGAAATTCTTAATTTCCAGGCATTACAGGAGGGCAATAACTCAGTAGGTTTCTGTTAACTCAGTAATAAACTAAGACAGCTCTTGTTTTAGCTTTCAGCTGTAGAGTTTGTTTAACTGATGATGAAGTTATAGCTCCAGCACCCTCTGAAGCGTCCTCTAATTAAATTACACCTGGAGGTGAGAGGAAATGGTTTATCTGGTTTTTCTGCCACTAAAGTTCCTTACTCCTAGGCCAAAAGAGTGGTGACGTGGGATTGTTTAACTGATGATGAAGTTATAGCTCCAGCACCCTCTGAAGCGTCCTCTAATTAAATTATACCTGGAGGTGAGAGGAAATGGTTTATCTGGTTTTTCTGCCACTAAAGTTCCTTACTCCTAGGCCAAAAGAGTGGTGATGTGGGGATACAATATATGCTATGGGACTGAATCTTTGCTTTGGGACTTAATCTCATGTTCTAGTACCACTTTGCCCTTGATTTGTTATATGACCTAAGCAAACCACTTACTTCTCTAGGCCTAATTTGCTACCTCTCTGCACTAGGTTTAAAAGTGTCTGTCTTGTTTATCCCTCTCCAAGAGGGGATGTGTAGACAAATTGAAATGAAACATGGTGAACAAGAAAGAAACTGTCTAGGACTAGCTTTGTAGCACTGGTTTATATATTTCTAGTAAGAAATAAGCAGGGGGCTGGCCTGTTAGCTAAGTTGGTTAGAGCACAGCCTTATAACACCAAGGTTACGGGTTCAGATCCCCTTACCAGACAGCTGCTAAAAAACAAAACAACACAAAGAAACAAAAAGAAACAAGTAGATTATGCTCCATGATATCAATTATTAGCATTCAGACCATCAGGAGTTGTTCACTGAACTATTAGTTTTCAATTTTAGGTTAAACATTGATTGAACCCTAATCAGGTTAGGATCTGAGAGGCTTCTATCTCACACCTCTCCTGAGGAGGCCCAACCTTAACTCTCTCACCTCCTGTCTCTTAGGTCCCTTGTTTAGTTTGCCTCCCTACATCAACCCCTGCCTCCCCATCTTCTTCCTTCTTCCTCCCCCTTACCTGGGCCATCTTCTCAAGCTTGGATTTTATATCTGCTAGCTCTAGCTGGGCCTCCTGAAGTTTTGTTTTCAGTTTTTGGTTTTCGGTCAGGGCACCCTCATAGAGCTGGGGGAAGGAAAAAAGAGAATCACGTCACCTATGACGCAGGGCTCCCAGAATTAGAACTCACACAGTTTCATCATATGAGAATGCCTAGGGCTCTCTGTCCCAAACCACCATTGTGTGGTAGATGGAGAAGATGAAGGAAGTCTAGGGAATTGAGTACATTCAGCCACCTGGTCTCTTGCTTCTTGAAAATGATGAAGTCCCAGGTGCTGAACACAAACAGAACAATGATGTTCCAACATTAATAAAAAAAAAAGCCATTCCATTTTCTCCTATGGGGCATAGCTCCTCATACAAAAGAAAATTATTGTTTTGGAACCAGTCTAGCATGGATATAGATTTTAGTCAAGTTCTGCTTAAAAGAACATTAACAAAACAAACATTTTCTTAACAAAAATGTTTTTTGCTGGTATCTTAAGTGTCGAAAGGGGAAGTTTTCAAGTTTACTCCTGAAGCTAGGTACTCTTCTGCAAGAATCAAAGGAAATAAACTGTAAAGTGATTTAAACCCTCTCCAAACCTAGACGATGATTTTTTTTTTTTTACTACCACCAAGAAGTATTTAGTTAATATTCACAGGACCTTATTAAAAGCACGTTTGTTAAAAATAACAGTCTATCAAATGATTCTCAGGGGCTCAGAGAGACAGCACCACATTTTTTACCATTTTTATAATTCTTAATTTCTTATTTTTTCCTACACTTCTAAATATCCCATTCTAGACATATGTTTACTACACTAAAAACAATACATAAAGGAGTCTTTATTTAGCTGGTGGAGAGAAGTCTATATTAAAATATTATAATATAATTATAATATAATCCCAGAAACCTGCAAAGAATTAGCTACTTACGCACCTTTTCTTCTACTTATTCAGAACTATACTCATTTTTCTACACTGGCTGAGAAATTTACATGTTGTCATCCAAGAATAGGAAACAAAAAAGACCCTACTTTTTTATAATCCCTGTTGCTGTCCTCTTCCACACGGCTGGTCAGGGTGGCTAGACGGGCCTCCCGGGCCTCCCGACGGGCTCTTGCTGAAGCCCGGTCCCCATAAGAATCGCTGGTTGTAGGGTTACTACCTCCTGATTCCAACCTATGGGTGATAATATTAAAGGTAAAAATTGATTTTGAGAACAAAGTAGTGGGGGGAAGATAATGCTTAAGGTAGTTTATGCCTTTTCTAAGTATTTGAGATCCCTGGCCAGAAACAATGCACAACATTCCTTCCTTAAATCTCTCTCAGCAAGCATTCCTGGACCTACTTCATGGCTAAACTGCACGAGCTTGGAGAGGGAGGCCGTCATTTGCCAAGAACGGAGCTTACTTGAAAAACTGGTGGTTTGGACCCATATGCTGACTTAAATCTTAGAGCTTTTCAAATTAGTTTAGGGTTGAACAGCTTCCTTTAAGAGTGTGTTTTTAAAAGCAAAAGTTTCTTGGATCCCAGTGGCTCTTGGAAAATGATTATAATGAACTGTCAATGAATCAGAAACATATGGATTCAGAGATCTGAGCTGGAGGTTGAATGGCGGTGCATGGTACATGTGCTTTCTAGGTACTCACTCTATTGGTTTGCTAGAATCCCAAAAACTTTAGGGGTACCACCACAGTGCCCAAATAGCTAGTTGTCTACCTATATCTATATTCCATATCAAGAAATCAAGACTGTTATACCTGCAATTACAATTTCTACATCTTCTAGCAATTGGGCTCTTAGAGTTAATGGTGGTTTTATTTCTGGTATTGGCAAGTTCATTAGCGGAAGAGTCTCTCAGCTGATTACCTGTTTAAGTGTACATCTATCATGTTGATCCTTTACTCTGGTTTACATTTTTCTCAAACTTTGTTCTTTCCAAACTATTGTGGCACATGTGAAATTGCTGTGTACCAAACAGCCTGCAGAACTCTACATCCCCAAATTGGGATGGTTTGAAGAGTCACAGCTGTGGAACTTGCATTTTGATGTCTCTGTGGTAGTTACTGCCAAAGCTGAGGTTGGGGGAGCTGAAATAAGTACTAGAAGAGGTAGAGGAGCAACAGGATGACACAGCGAGGGCAGAGGCAAAGTAATTAGTTCCTAATGGCACCAATGGTCACTTTTCTCTTGTACAGAGAGGCTAAGTCCCACATTCTTCACAACATTTTCTCTCTTTTTTTTGTGAATAGAAATCTCTTTATTGACTTTCCTGATTAC